GTATTGACTGTTAATTTATTCTATGTTTGGTATCATTCAAGTTAGTATGTTATGTTTTTGTATCATGTTCAACATAATTATGTACAAAACATAATTATTCAACATAATTATGGTCCTGGTAAAATTTTAGAAATTGCAATCAAACTCCTCAGTAACAGATAAAACCGTACACCATGGCCTGGCCTTTCTAGAAAACTCAAACAACACTTCCAAACTGTTTCTTTCAGTGATGTCTCGTCCACTGTGCCCGATTTGTCGTAAAGCGTTCAGCAGCAAAACCAACATGAAATTACACGTGGATACAGTGCACGGTGCTAACAAGTTCGTGTGTCCGGTGTGCCCCACTTCCTTCACACGCAAGTTTAGTTTGCAACGTCACATTTACACTGCTCACAGCGAGGGAAACGTTCCGGCCAAGTCGGAGTGGAACTTCAGTGAGGACGTTACGGACTTCCATTCTTAGTTTCGTAGTCATTTGAATGTAGAATAAGTCAGCAGAAATCATATTGAGCATGGTAGCATGGTGAATGGAACTGCGGCATTAGTTCCATGTATTCTTGTTTTTAGATTGTTAAACATAATTTTACATGCATAATTCTACGTTTTTATTGGTTTAAAGTTATGATCATGTTATTTACTTGTTTCCGTGAAGTGTCCCAGCAATTCAATGTTCTCCGAATTTCGAATTATTAAAAAGTTTTGTTTAGACCGTTGTTTCAATCCAGAGTCTCCAACAAATCAGTGAAACTTCTATCAGCAAGTTGAACACAATAAAGTAATAACGATGAACATGGCGTGTTAGATTAGCTGCCCTAAAAGTAACCGACCTTGAGGAATGTCCAATAATAATGAGCACGCTAATTCGTGGTAATGTAACCATGGTAACATGGCTTAAGGTAACGTTACCATGGTAACTCAACACGCACCTCCACACCAGTTTCAGATAAAAGCCGTCCAACGTGTCCAGTGTGCACCAAAACGTTCAGTTGTGTGGGTGCCCTGAAGCTGCACAGTCAAACAATTCACAGCGGGTACAAGTACGTGTGTGCCATCTGTAGGGCCTCTTTCAGCAGGAGGTTCAGTTTGCGGCGACATCATCTCTCCGCACACAACATTATGCCGTAGTAAATACATATTACATTACACTGGAGCTTACACAGTGTAATTTCCTCCAGTCTGCGCCGCGCGCCTTTATAAACGTACGCGGCGCAGACTGGAGGAAATTACACTGTGTAAGCTCCAGTGTAATGTAATATGTATGTACTACAACATTAAACCTCAGTGGTAGTAGTATTAATCAGCGGACAGAAAGGAAATTATCTTATGAACCGTATATTAAGGATGAAGTTGAGTTGAATAAAAAACAGTCTTACTATTGATTATACTTTTCTTTAATCCTTATACCCCCGGCAATTATGTCCATTATTCAAAATCTTCGTCATCTTATTATATTTCGGATGCATTTCATTTGTTTATTATTCATTCACCGGGGTCTTCCTTTTTCTTTACGGACCATATATTATCTTTCGTGGGTCGGCTATCTCGGATATATTCTGAATTATTTCTTTTATTCTTAACTGGTAAAACGTGTCTTATCGTAGAAACAAATTGGCACCGAGCTAATAGCACAAAATCGAAAGTATGTAGTTAAAAAAGCAAGGAACAATTTTAATCAATAACACGAGTAAACAACAGTTTCAGTAAAACCGCCAGTCTGGGGATATTGTCCGTTTTGCAACAAATCCACCTACAGTTCCCTGGAAATGGGGCGGCACCTCGACACAGCACACGGCTCCCGGCTCCCGGATACGGCACTTCCCGGCACCCAGCAGAGCGAAAATACCCCTTACTCTCATCTTATTGGCAACAGATTCACAGATAGTCGTGACCATGGTGCGGGGGCAGCTAGGTTCGAGTGTCCCAGGTGTAAGAAGTGTTTCAGCCGAAAGTGGACGCTTCATCGACACATGTTGACGACCGAGGGGAAATGCTACAAAATCTTTACAGCCTATGAAAATATCTAAAGGTCTTGACTTTAAGTTGATCAGCGAAATGTAATGAGTAGTTTTGGAGTCATTGCTGGGCTGAAATTTATAATCGCTTTTTTGGTAACGTGAAAAACTGATTTTAGCTGGTTATGTCGATTCTTAATTTTTGGCTCGTACTTACTCCAGTCGATGTCTTGAAAAATCATTTATTAACGGTGTAACAAATAAGGCTCACTTTTTCTAGGTCGACAAAACAATCTTTACCGTCAAATCCCACCCTTCTAGAACAAATCTCACCCCTCTAGAACAAGCCTCATTCTTCTAGAACAAATCTCACCCTCCTAGAACAAATTTCACCCTCCTAGAACAAATCCCACCCTTCTAGAACAAATCCCAACCTTCTAGAACAAATCCCAACCTTCTAGAACAAGTCCCACCCTTCTAGAACAAATCCCACCCTTCTAGAACAAATCTCACCCCTCTAGTTCAACAAGTCTCATTCTTCTAGAACAAATCCCACCCTTCTAGAACAAATGCCACCCTTCTAGAACAAATCCCACTCTTCTAGAACAAGTCCCACCCTTCTAGAACAAATCCCACCCTTCTAGAACAAATCTCACCCTCCTAGAACAAGTCCCACCCTTCTAGAACAAGTCCCACCCTTCTAGAACAAGTCCCACCCTTCTAGAACAAACCCCACCCTTCTAGAACAAATCCTACCCTTCTAGAACAAGTCCCACCCTTCTAGAACAAATCCCACCCTTCTAGAACAAATCCCACCCTTCTAGAACAAATCCCACCCTTCTAGAACAAGTCCCACCCTTCTAGAACAAGTCCCACCCTTCTAGAACAAATCCCACCCTCCTAGAACAAATCCCACCCTTCTAGAACAAATCCCACCCTTCTAGAACAAGTCCCACCCTTCTAGAACAAGTCCCACCCTTCTAGAACAAGTCCCACCCTTCTAGAACAAATCCCACCCTCTAGAACAAATCCCACCCTTCTAGAACAAATCCAACCCTTCTAGAACAAATCCCACCCTTCTAGAACAAATCCCACCCTTCTAGAACAAATCCCACCCTTCTAGAACAAGTCCCACCCTTCTAGAACAAATCCCACCCTTCTAGAACAAGTCCCACCCTTCTAGAACAAATCCCACCCTTCTAGAACAAGTCCCACCCTTCTAGAACAAGTCCCACCCTTCTAGAACAAGTCCCACCCTTCTAGAACAAGTCCCACCCTTCTAGAACAAGTCCCACCCTTCTAGAACAAATCCCACCCTTCTAGAACAAGTCCCACCCTTCTAGAACAAGTCCCACCCTTCTAGAACAAGTCCCACCCTTCTAGAACAAATCCCACCCTTCTAGAACAAATCCCACCCTTCTAGAACAAGTCCCACCCTTCTAGAACAAGTCCCACCCTTCTAGAACAAGTCCCACCCTTCTAGAACAAATCCCACCCTTCTAGAACAAGTCCCACCCTTCTAGAACAAATCCCACCCTTCTAGAACAAGTCCCACCCTTCTAGAACAAGTCCCACCCTTCTAGAACAAATCCCACCCTTCTAGAACAAGTCCCACCCTTCTAGAACAAGTCCCACCCTTCTAGAACAAATCCCACCCTTCTAGAACAAATCCCACCCTTCTAGAACAAGTCCCACCCTTCTAGAACAAGTCCCACCCTTCTAGAACAAGTCCCACCCTTCTAGAACAAATCCCACCTTCTAGAACAAGTCCCACCCTTCTAGAACAAATCCCACCCTTCTAGAACAAGTCCCACCCTTCTAGAACAAATCCCACCCTTCTAGAACAAATCCCACCCTTCTAGAACAAATCCCACCCTTCTAGAACAAGTCCCACCCTTCTAGAACAAGTCCCACCCTTCTAGAACCCACTTCTCCGCAGATTGTGAAATTTGTGGTAAACACTTTCGAGGAACCAGTGCAATGTCGAACTTAAAGCGACACATCGCAACTGTTCACCTCAACATGCGACCATTCGAGTGTACGATCTGTAAGATGAAGTTTAAACGGAAGGAGCACTGGAAGGATCATTTCTTTAAAAAGCATGGCGAAAGTACCGAGGGGACTGCTTATTTGAGCTCAGTTTATAATTGAGGGCAGCTATGATACTGTGATGAAATTTTGAATTGTTTGACCCACTGCACTGAGCCTGATTTTTGATTTTTGATTTTCCAATTTTAAAGACAGTTTTTTGTTGTATTATCAGTATGATGAATGATCATAAGCTATGGTTGTTTTTGTTTGAAAAATAAAGTTTCGAAATTCTACAAAACCCATGTTCATCTTTGTCCGGTATAATTCAATGATTAACAGCTAGTCTCCAATCTCCTGACTCAAATTCAACACTCGTGACTAGAATCGCTTTATTCTCTTTCAGCTGGGGCTCTACCATCAATCTACCACCGCCCACTCTTCAGTCGGCAGCTCGAGGAGCTGACGTCATCAGAACACACGATGACGTCATCAGAACACACGATGACGTCATCAGAACACACGATGACGTCATCAGAACACACGATGACGTCATCAGAACACACGATGACGTCATCAGAACACTCGATATTCTGCCAGTTCTGCAACCTGGAGTTCCAATTCCAACAGTCTCTGAAGCGTCACATCCTGGACGTTCATCTCAAGTCTCGGCCGTACTCATGTGACCTATGTAACAAGACGTACAAGAGAAACGAACACCTCAAAGAACATGTCGCCACTAAACATTTGAACATCTCGCGGATAGAACATCGTCTCAATAAGAAAGTGAAAAAGTTGCATTAACTTCTTGAAAATGAGTAGAGTATTTAATGTGGACAATCGCAATTGTTTTAATGGGATAGAACTTTTTGGACGTAATTTGTGTTAGAGGGTCAGAAGCCTATTAGTCGGAAACTTGTTAAAAAATAATGGTAAAATGCAATTTCAAGAGAATTTTCGACTAGACAATCTAATTTATGTAATAATTTGTTTAAAAGGCGAATTTATAATTATTTTCAGATATCGACAGTTGTAACTACTGTACCGGAGTACCTATAAAGGTTGAACAAGTTGAAGTTGAAACTTCAGCTCATGTCTTGAAACGGTCGGAGACCGCGGCCGCGGCACCACCACCTGAAAAGGACCTTGCTACGTCCAAGCGACAACGGCTCCCTACCGCCTCACAAACACCGCAAACGAAACAAGCCCTGTGAGACAAACGAAGTGTCTCACTTTTCATGCAGCTTCTGTGATGTAAACTTCCGGTCTCACGAACTGCTCCGGAGACACCTCATGGACGATAAAGCCCACGCTTCCAAAACCTCAGCTTCTTACGACCAGCTCTCTGTCTTTAGTTGCCAAGTGTGCCACATTAGTTTTCTGTCCGAAGCTTGTCTCCGGGAACACAACGAGGCTATTCACAGGGTTAAAATTAAGCGAGTTTTTCATTGCAGCGTTTGTCCCAGCTGGGGTGACCAAAAGGTCACGTTTCAAACCCTTCAAGGATTGAGGAAACACACGATGAGTCAGCATTACAACAGTGCTACCCACGCTCACATGTGCAAGTGTGGGATCTGCTGCCTCAAGTTTGACTCTGTCCCCTCCCTGGAAGTGCATCTGAAGAGCACGAGACACCATGACTACTACGAGGGTGTGGGTCCCTACTCCTGCAACATCTGCCCCGCGAAGAAGTGCGCTTCCTTCTCCTCCGCCTACCTGCTCAAACTGCACTTTAAACAAGCGCACAGTCTACAGTGGCACGCTGTACCGCCCCCGCAGATACCGCCCACTGCCCATACTGTAACCATGGTAACTAGTATCCCTGCTCCAGCCTGTTCAGTTAAGAAGGCACTTAAGATTACCTGTATATTTTGTAAAGCTGAGTTTGGGTCCAGGGAACTGTTGAAAGAGCACGAGCGAACCCATCTGCTCGGTCTACCCAAGGACTCTTGAATTGCTGAATCGATGCTGTATAGGATATCATGTTACACGATGTAATTAGTTGTAGTTTCAGTTGCCATTTAATTACAAGCAAACTGTAATTTCCTGTGAACCCCTTGATTTTGTCACCAGAAATAAAGGCCGCTGAAACCTACTCTAACATCAAGACTAACCACCTCTCCAACCTTATTAGTACACTGACTGAATTTCAGACAGACTGATCTGCGACACCTGCTCCAAAACTTACTCCTCCTCCTTCTCCCTAGCTCGACACACACGTACCGTGCACCAAGGTCAGCGTCCCCACGCCTGTCCGCTCTGCAAGCTGAGATTCAGTGCTCTGAACAACCTGTCCCGCCATTTGGAGGCCGTACATTGGGGGACTAGGCACTTTGCGTGCTCCCTCTGTGAAATGACGTTCAAGAGAAGATACAGACTAGTAGAACACATTGATAGGGCCCATACTCTCAGTCATAATTAACGGATAATTATACTCGCAGTCATAATTAAAACGGATATTTTGAGGTTTTAATGTTTGTTTTTATGTGTTCGTTAAACGGTGTTGTTTATATTGAATTCTTTGTCAGTCATTTAATTCAAATCCTCGTTATTTACTGTACTCACTTTCGCAAGAGATTAGCTACTGAGAGGTGTCTATAATACAAACGAGCATAAATTTCTATAAATCTGTTGAAGTTAGACGTAGTTTATTTTTAATTTATTACATTCGAATTTAAACAGAAAGTTGCATTAAACGTATGCCTACTGTCATAACCCTGTCAAATTACGAATCAAATATAGTTTTGAAAATGCCGCCGATTATTTCAGAAGCCGCACCAGGAGTCCCGATGTGTATGATCTGTTTAAAAACGTTCTCCTGTATTAGAAGCGTGAAGGAGCACATATCCTCCGTTCACATGAAACGGCGGCCCTACACGTGCAAGTTCTGTCGCAAAACGTTCGGTACCCAAGCCTCCGTCAGCCGGCATAAGAACCACCACTGCTCCAAGAATTTGGATATCAAACGAACTCCGCGATAATCAGATTGTCATATGCTCCTTTGGGAGTAGATTATTTTTATGATTTAAATTTAGACGGCACTGATTAAAATCTTAATATCATTTTGTGACTCTTATTACAGAACCTTTCTCTTTTGTAATAATACCCCCGATTGTAGTTCTATATCCCCGTCACCATGACTTAGCGAATATTTCTTAACCTCTGAACTGTGAACTTCATCTCAATAAAATATTTAGATCTCAGATATAACGGCCCACTGTTGAATTTAAGTCACGATTTATGATAGTCAGGGACCCGTTACATTTGTCCGGACAAATAACACATAATAAGAAAGGGAACCATTAAATTTGTGTTTCAGAGCTAGTTAAGCGAGCGTGTTGCAAGTTGTGTTTCCGTATGTGATAGTAGTGAATAAATTGATGATATAAACGTTCTAAAGTGCTAAAAATATGGTAGAACTACATAATCTCTGGTCGAAAAATATCGTGTCAATTAATGTCAGTATTCCAAAATTTTGCAAAACTGACATTGACATTAATTGACATTAATTGACGTTGCATCACCCCCTTCAGAGCTAGTTAAGCGAGCGTGTTGTAAGTTGTGTGGGAGATGGTTTGCGGGGCAGAACACAGTTAACAGGCACGTGCGCACAGTTCACAGTGGCGCGAGACCCTACACGTGCAAGAACTGCGGCAAAGCTTTCAAACGCAACGATACACTGCACGGACATTTGCCCAAATGTTTAGGTCTAAGTGTCAAGTACAATTTAGACATGTGAACTGTCAGTGTGAGGAGGATTATTTTTATTTGTAATGAGCTTTTTTATCAGTAATATGGACATACTTCTCTAAATTTGAAACGTTAATATTTCTATCTTAAATTTATATAATATGTCTTGTTTTAATTTGTTTAGCAACACGTGACTATTTAAAAAAACTGTAAATTATTTTCCCGGCTCATGGAATTCTTGAAACTCAAATTGCTCGAAATCTTCAATAACCACAAGCACTCACTACCAACAAACAATCAGTCAATGTGACCCTTAGTTTCAGTTGCATCCTACACTCCAAACAAACAATAAGTCAATGTGACCCTTAGTTTCAGTTGCATCCTACACTCCAAACAAACAATTAGTCAATGTGACCCTTAGTTTCAGTTGCATCCTACACTCCAAACAAACAATTAGTCAATGTGACCCTTAGTTTCAGTTGCATCCTACACTCCAAACAAACAATTAGTCAATGTGACCCTTAGTTTCAGTTGCATCCTACACTCCAAACAAACAATTAGTCAATGTGACCCTTAGCTTCAGTTGCATCCTACACTCCAAACAAACAATTAGTCAATGTGACCCTTAGTTTCAGTTGCATCCTACACTCCAAACAAACAATTAGTCAATGTGACCCTTAGCTTCAGTTGCATCCTACACTCCCAACAAACAATTAGTCAATGTGACCCTTAGTTTCAGTTGCATCCTACACTCCAAACAAACAATTAGTCAATGTGACCCTTAGTTTCAGTTGCATCCTACACTCCCAACAAACAATTAGTCAATGTGACCCTTAGTTTCAGTTGCATCCTACACTCCAAACAAACAATTAGTCAATGTGACCCTTAGTTTCAGTTGCATCCTACACTCCAAACAAACAATAAGTCAATGTGACCCTTAGTTTCAGTTGCATCCTACACTCCAAACAAACAATTAGTCAATGTGACCCTTAGTTTCAGTTGCATCCTACACTCCAAACAAACAATAAGTCAATGTGACCCTTAGTTTCAGTTGCATCCTACACTCCAAACAAACAATTAGTCAATGTGACCCTTAGTTTCAGTTGCATCCTACACTCCAAACAAACAATTAGTCAATGTGACCCTTAGTTTCAGTTGCATCCTACACTCCAAACAAACAATAAGTCAATGTGACCCTTAGTTTCAGTTGCATCCTACACTCCAAACAAACAATTAGTCAATGTGACCCTTAGTTTCAGTTGCATCCTACACTCCAAACAAACAATTAGTCAATGTGACCCTTAGTTTCAGTTGCATCCTACACTCCAAACAAACAATTAGTCAATGTGACCCTTAGTTTCAGTTGCATCCTACACTCCAAACAAACAATTAGTCAATGTGACCCTTAGTTTCAGTTGCATCCTACACTCCAAACAAACAATTAGTCAATGTGACCCTTAGTTTCAGTTGCATCCTACACTCCAAACAAACAATTAGTCAATGTGACCCTTAGTTTCAGTTGCATCCTACACTCCAAACAAACAATTAGTCAATGTGACCCTTAGTTTCAGTTGCATCCTACACTCCAAACAAAGAATTAGTCAATGTGACCCTTAGTTTCAGTTGCATCCTACACTCCAAACAAACAATTAGTCAATGTGACCCTTAGTTTCAGTTGCATCCTACACTCCAAACAAACAATTAGTCAATGTGACCCTTAGTTTCAGTTGCATCCTACACTCCAAACAAACAATTAGTCAATGTGACCCTTAGTTTCAGTTGCATCCTACACCCCAAACAAACAATTAGTCAATGTGACCCTTAGTTTCAGTTGCATCCTACACTCCAAACAAACAATTAGTCAATGTGACCCTTAGTTTCAGTTGCATCCTACACTCCCAACAAACAATTAGTCAATGTGACCCTTAGCTTCAGTTGCATCCTACACTCCAAACAAACAATTAGTCAATGTGACCCTTAGTTTCAGTTGCATCCTACACTCCAAACAAAGATCGTAGACCCGTCTGCCAGTTCTGCGGACGCATATTCTCAAGTCCCAGCAACATGTACCGTCACCAGCGTACCGCGCACACTCCAGCAGGTCCGGATTATAAACCGTTCAGGTGCCAAAAGTGCGGCAGATCTTTTAACAGACATGATAACTTGATGCTGCATCTCAGAAAGCGGTTGAAATGCAGTGCATAGTCCGGGAATGGAAGAGGTTTAAAACGGACTGATAGATTAGTTCATTTTTAGAAGATACAAGTGGTCATGGTCCTAGCTTGATTTAATCTTAGTCATTGTAGCTTTAGTGCAATTGATATCTGATTTCAATTTTGTGTTCTTTCATGAACATTTCGTGTCCTCAGTCCTGTCCTTTTAGTTATTTGTCTTTTAGTTATTTGTCTTTTAGTTATTTGTCTTTTAGTTATTTGTCTTAGTATATTTGTCTTTTTCTGAATATCACTTCGAGAATACATCTTAAACAAATTGTATCACTTTCTGAATACATCTTAAACAAATTGTAAACGAAAATCAAGAACTTCGACAATTTGACGAATAAAAACTTCACCAACTTAAAAGTATTTTCTTATTTGATCACCTCTCAAAGATGCGTCTCTACAGGAGAAAGTTTACGGAGTATACCCAACAAGACCCGACCTAGGTCACAATGTCCATTTTGCGGTAAATTCCTGTCCACCTCCAGCAACCTTAACGTACACATGACGACTGTCCACCGTAAACTCCGACAACACAAATGCAAATTCTGCGGCAAGGGCTTCGGAGCTGCTTCTAACAAGATACGACACGAGAAGATTAACTGTTCTCTCCGGTTTCAGACCTGATATGACGTTATAGATCATGAAGCGAGAAAAACAATAATCAAAACTGATGCAACTTCACCATTAATAGCATGGATGTTGGTTTCTGCATTTTTGCCTACAGTACTAAAAAATGTCTCCTGTTTTATCATTTTGATTGGATTTTGTTAAATAAATGTACATCAAACCTATTGCTCGAAGATCCAGGTTTTCCAACTTTTCGTAAACTACACCCTACACCCTACACCCTACATCCTACACCCTACACCCTACACCCTACACCCTCTACAGTGCCCAATCACTCCAGGAGAACGTATACCGTGCCGCGCTAAATCCCAGTGCCCGTACTGCGGTAAATTCCTCTCCACCCCTGGAAACATGACGGTACACATTACCACGGTGCACCGCAAACTCCGGCAGTACAAATGCAGGTTTTGTGGCAAAGGCTTCGGACATGTTTCTAACAGGGCTAGACACGAGAAAGAGTATTGTTCGCTCCGGACACAGTAAACTGTTCATGTGACGTTTCGTCGTGTTAGAATTAAGCGAGGGAGCAGTAACCAATTTCAAATAAAAACTTTTAATCTTGTGGAGCTAATTTTAAGTGTTGAATTTTGTTGTGGAAGGAAAAGAAAATGCTTAGCGGATCTTGTTTTCTGTTATTTTAGCTGAGTAAGTGACCAATAATCTGGACTTATTTCCTGTATCTGCACGTGCAACACCACGTTACGTCATCCAACTAGATTTTCAGTTTGCAACGCTTATTTCAGACGGACGCGTTATCCACGCAAGCGACATCTGCCCAATATGTGGCAAGATCTTTGCAGCTCCGGCCAATGTTAAAGTCCACATCGACACAGTACACAACAAGATAAAGAGAATCCTGTGCCGGTACTGTGGCAGAGCTTTTGGTCAACATTCCAGTCGAGCTAGACACGAGAGAATGAACTGTAAAGCTGATAGAAATTCTTATTGCGGGGATTTTGGCAATTATAGCTATAAGATGAAACCGATGGAGTGAAGTTATCAACTAATTACCTTTTATATTTCCTTTTAAAGTTCGCCATCTCGAAAATTCTTACCCTCTACTCTCCAAAACGCCCTGCACAATAAGTGACCAAGCTGATAACTAGGTGGTAACTAGGTGGTAACTAGGTGGTAACTAAGTGACCAAGCTGGCCGGTCTATTTTATCAAACTTTACCACAACTGCATGCTACCTCAGCCCGACTTCCAGTCCCCCACTGCCCTCTATGTGGTAAAACATTTGCGGCTGCCAAGAACGTGAAGGTTCACATTGACACGGTCCACAAGAAACTCAGCCCACATCGGTGCCGGTACTGCAACAGGGCTTTTGGGCAGCTTTCCAGCCGGTCACGCCACGAACGGGAGACTTGCAGGATTAAGTATGCTAATAATAATAATGATGGGGGTGATGGTAATGTGAAAACTGAGTATTCTGAGAATATCACTGACTAGATATTTTAGTTTCTTTTTTTAGTTTCGAACAATTTTTTAAACCTTGCTGACTTGAGTTTCTTTTCATAAGGACATCTAGATCTTTCTAATCGCAATTTAAAAAATTTTGATGTATGGCAATTTATTTTGAATAGTTGAACTTTCACCAAATCTTGAACGCTAGCTAGCCTTAGCCTTATACTGTTATATGTAGATTTTATAGGTCAAGAGCAAACAAATAGCTGATCTGTTCTCACTAAATTTATTTATTTAACAGCTGTAAAGGATAAACTATTGCTCCTTTGTAATACACAGCTGTACAGGATAAATGAAATTATTTCCTCTTCTTCCGAAATATTGCATAAATTATTTCAGTGAACTGCCCAGTTTGCGGCAAGCTGTTTCAAGGAAAATCTGTAAGAAGTCACTTGAAGAGGCATCTTAATGAAGTACACTATAAAATCGTTAAGTGCAAATGCGTTTGTGGCAAAACTTTCTTGAGGAAAAACGAGTATAAGATACATATTAGTAGGGGAAGTTGTGTGATTTCAGATTATAGATGATCATTATTTTAAAAAATTTCATTAAATTATGTTTTAACAACTTGTTCGTTTGGCAGGCATTGGATATAAATTATCTTTATTAAAGATATTTCATAAATTTCAATTATTTGTTTTTGAGGTTAACAGTGCAGTATTGATAATGGTATCAGTGTCTTGCGGTTAAAAAAAGATATAAGTAAATCCTCACGATAAAACAGTTTGTCACAAAAATGCGCTTTATAAAATTCCACCTCGCCATACAAACCACATTTCAGCATTTGAGTGCCCCGAATGCGGTAAATCCTACAAAGGAGCTTACCAAATGAGACGACACTA